AGCTCCCCACTCTGGCTGTCTTCTTCCTGTTTGGCGCTGACCTCGTCTGTCTTCCCATGTCCCTGTAATCACTCCGTCTCTTAGTGGACAATTCTGCCTCTCCCACCAGCTCCTGCACCATATCATAAGCGACTTCAGAACACGGGAATTTTAGCTCAACGACTCTGCGTTCATATGGCACATTATTTTAGCGCTGAATCGTACGGTGTCCTTAAATAAGCTCGTTCTCAGTGTGTTAGGTCTGTGTAAAGTGTTGGGTCATCTTCTGTGATTTGAACAGGCCTGGTTATTGCCGGTTTGGAGCCTGATTTTGTTGGTTGTGGCTGAACGCTTCTAAGGGAGGGGGGGATGTGCTTCGGTTCTGTGCTGGTTTTGCAGACGACTGCTAATCTGCTCTCCCTTGTTCTTTCTTCTCCACAGAGCTGAGAAAACAGAAGTCCTCGGGGAAGATCTGTTGCAGGTAACCTTGCGCATGGCCTTTTCCTGGTGTTCTAGTGTGCTCACGGAGGGATGTCGGATGTAAGGTGTCTGATCCGCAGAGCAGTGCCCATGTCTTTGCTTTGGGTCTGAGCCCGGGCCTCTCAGAGCATGTGGGGAAGGAGGGTAACTTTCTCTCCACGTCCTGGAGCATACAAAACTCCGGAGATCCTCCCCTTGTGTGTGTGTCGGCTTCAGATTCCTTCGGGATCTCCCAGAAATAATAATCAATCAAGCGCGTTGTCGCTCCCACACCAAATCCCAAACCCCAGTGGATCGGAACAGTGACTTGGTGAATCTTTTCTGTGCTTTGTTCCTTCATTCTCACCCATATTCGTTGGATTACTCACACCGTTAATGTTGGGCTGAAACGGGATGAAGTCTGTTTTGGATCCTGGTGAACCTGTGATCAGGGAGCTGTCCCATGTCAGGCAGCTAATTTCTCTCCGTAGTTTCTTCCCATAGGCAGGAATGTGCTCTGTATTATAGCTGCAGTTGCAACCTTTCCCTTATAATCCAGCTGGAGTAAAATCTGCCTCTTGGTTTTTTTTCCATACATGCGGCACGACCTTCACAGGACAAACTCCTGCCAGAGCAGCAGTTTAGCGTGGGACATGGAACGTGGTCACTTCTTGATCAAACTGACATCTAGTTACTCAGAATCTCGTCTCTGATGCAGATTAAGCCACGAGCCTCGTGTGCCTGAGGAAAAAAAGCAACAGTCTGGCATTTAACGTCACACTGGGTGATGCACGTTTTAATGTCATCTTGGGTGTTGCTAATATTTTGAACAGTATGTATTAAAAATACCAGATGGTTTTTGTTTCGGCAGAAACCATGTAAAAGGTCTTGATTCGCTGGTTGTCCCTGAGCTGCCTGTAAGTGGCGGCAGTTGAATGTTGGAGCTGTTAGTGTTCCTGAACCGTGGACCAGACAGGGGAGTCGAGGGCTACGTCAGACCCTGCCGTCCAGTACCCAGTCTCTTGCCTCTGTTGTCCCTACTGGCGTGTCTTGGGGAAATTGTGTCTGGTTTGAGGAGAGATACAGTGATTGTTGGCCGCAGACCAATGACCTCTCACTCCGCAGGTTGTCTGTTATTGACGTTCGTGATCCAAGCCCAGGAAGAATTGCTGTAGTTGCCGTTTATGAGGG